GCTGAAAAACTGTGATGGTAAAATGACAATATGAAAACAAGGTGACAATGTGAAAGAGGTTTATCATAGTGACTGACAATGTGAAAGAGGTTTATCATAGTTTATCATAGCCCTAAAGAGAATTATCACTCAAATCTGCAGCTTTATAGTGGAGTTTCACTCCATTATTTAGCTTCCTGACCCACTTTACTGTTCTGATTTACTCTCAATACAATGATAATATCATTTTCTGCCAATTCCAGCCTATTTCTAGTGAAACACTCTAAGCAGCCAATAATATCCACTCAGACACACAGTTAGTGACTAGTTGGTGAACACAATGGAGCATTTAGCAGCTAGGGAGCCTGCTATTTATCTGGAGTGAATGAAGTTACAATGAAGTTTTCTTTTAAAACTGTATATCATTTTATCAAAGGCCTAGAAATAATTCGGATTAATCATCTGCCCACAAACCTGAGACAGCTGGTGTACCAGTGATAGATGGATCAGTAAAACATATGACAAATTCAGGTCACTTTAAATTGCTGTGTCTTTGGAGCCAAAGTGGAAATGAACAAAGCCAGAGAATAGAGGCCTTAATGCAGGTAGCATGCTGCACCGGACAGATCACATCAGGGGCCAGGGGACGTCCCATCCCTTCACCTTCTTCTCAGAGATACACTACAGTGCAAGCATTAAATTTTACTGCATCACACATAGAGACACCAACTGCTACACTAAAACTTAAATAGGCAGTCAAACATAAAAACAAATACAATTACTTGTCTGATAGGCACATAGACTTAAAAGGAAGTAAAGCCGGATACACATTCCTGCATGCCCATAGTAAAATCTTCTTAGCTGCCTTCCTGGTCTCCTCCAGGTGAATGAGGCAGCGCTTCAACAAGCCGCTATAAAACGCTCATCAATCACAGAGGCTAATCTCAGGTTCTTGCTGACACTTTCATTGTGCAGGCCATTTCTATACGGCTGCCTCCACATAATGCCCTGCTCTGCCTGCTTTGACAGGCCAGAGGCCCTGCAGCTCACTGCCATGAGAGCCATTCTCAAGTGGCATGCCTTTGAAGTGAAGCACCGAAGGAGCTCGAGCTAATCTGGACATCTAGAGGCATGGTGGGTGAAGCAGGACAGCATGTATATAGGTGACCTCAGGCCGGGATTGTGGGGAATGAAAATAGCCATTTCACTGGTTCTGTAGATTGAAAGTCCAATTGAAAGAGTCTCCAGTCTTCAAACTTAAAACTGCTATTACACAGAAAGTCAGCAAAAAAAGAGCCAATATATCTACCTTCAATTCCATTAGCCAGAGTTCAGACAAACAACATGGGAGAGCTGACCCCAGAGCACAGAGGGAGACCTGGAAAGGAGCAATCCTGTAGTCCAATAAAGAAATATTAAAAAATATTTGAGGAAATGTCTGTAATATGTGAAAGGGTCGGGTGTATTTCTAATCACAAAAAACCCTTCTGGCCACCTCTTCAGTTTTTGTGTCTCTGCCCTCAACCAGTGATTTCTTTTTTCCTCTGGTCCTCCAATATCAGACACTGCTCCCAGCAAAGGAAACACAAACAGCCCTATTCAAATAAACACAGCAATTTTGTGTGTGTTTACTTTTCATTTTGTCATATCGATCTGTGATTCTGTGCCCAAACTGTTCTATTCCATTTCATGACGTGAGTAAGACCTTGTTTCTTGGCCTAGATGAACAGGACAGATAGTGAGCACCATTATTCTAAACAACCATTTCTGTCTTGTCCTTTATTGCCTTCTGTTGTTCTTTTCTAGCTGCATGCTGACCTGCTTCAATCCTAAACGGAGGTTTTATTGCATCTGGCACAGAGATATGTTTATGAAAACTATTTATTTTGTTGCTGTGAGAAGTTGTTTCCACACATAGAAAACATGTGTTCAATACCCAGCGCTTCGAGGCTTGATACACACAGAAATGTTCACTGTAGGATGCATGATAGCAATAATTTGCTTCCCTGAACCTCATTCATGACACATAAAGCTTGCACAAACCATTTCACTATCCATTTCACTCATGAGCGAGATATTAAACCATGAGAGCAATCAAGGTTTAAGGCAGATCCCATTCTCATTCATACTTACAATTTTATATGTCAGTCTGTTATGTTAAAAAGTCATTGTTTTTATATGATTTCTGGGCAAAATAATGTAGTTACCAGAAATGTTTCATACCTGCTGCTTTCACATTAAATTTCAGACAACCTCTGAAAATATTTCTGCTTTAGGATTTATGTGTTAGCATAGATGGTGACCAGACAAAGGGCTGGACCCCTTCAGTTACACTGTATTATTATTATTATTATTTATACTGTACACAAGATGCTGTCAATAAAGAATTCCTTCCTCCCTCTATGCCTGTTAACATTGAGTCACTGGGTCTACAAAGAAGCTCTAGCACAGACACAACATCTGACATTTACAACCAATTTCTTTTTTTGGACTGTTTCAGATACTAAAATTAAAAATCTCTGTACTTACATGTAAGCTACAGTATATAACTTGAGATAGCGCAAGCATGAAAGTTCAAATCAACCCACTCTGCTCCACCCAGCACTCCCTCTCTTTGCTCCACTGTGTTCTACTACACTTCACCAGGCTCTGCCAAGCCCTTCAGATATTAGTCATTATGAAATTACAAGAAATGAGAATGCAACAAAACTTACTGATCAAGCAGGAATAATTGAAAATCTATGACTGTTAGAGAGGTTACTCCTGCTCAAAACCTTTTAGAAGCTACCTAAGCTAGTAGGTTACTTGAGAACAATGGCTTCCCCCTGTTCCTCTTTTCCTTTCTCTTTCTCAGAGTGTCGCATGTTCAGTTATTCCTCTGCCTCCTTTAGCGATAATGGTACTTGTAATAAATGTCAGATGCTAGCAGCATTGGAGGCGAGGCTCACAGACTTAGAAGCGCAGATCCGCACCATGGAGAACAGCCCAGCTAGCTATGCCCATGTAGCCGGTGTGGAGCCTCCTAGACACTTTGGATGGCTCGGCTCTCATTTGTCTTCATACTTGTCCTCTTAGATCTCAGTGCTGCTTTTGACGCCATTGATCACAGCATCTTACTACAGAGATGTGAACATGTTATTAGGTTTAAAGAAACTGCACTAAGTTGGTTCAAATCTTACTTATCAGAAAGATTCCAATTTGTTCATGTTTGTCTGTGCAGACTGAAGTTAGTCACGGCGTTCCACAGGGCTCTGTGTTAGGTCCAATTCTCTTCACTTTATACATGCTCCCTTTAGGCAATATTATCAGGAAGCACAACATAAATTTCCATTGCTATGCAGATGATACTCAGTTATATTTATCTATGAAGCCAAATGAATCAGGTCAGCTGGTCAAACTTCAAGCATGTCTTAAAGACATAAAGGCCTGGATGACCTGCAACTTCTTACTTCTAAACTCTGACAAAACTGAAGTCATTGTACTTGGGCCTGAAAACCTTAGAAATCTGCTGTCTAATCATATAGTTACTCTAGATGACATAGCCCTTGCCTCCAGTACTACTGTGAGGAACCTTGGAGTCATCGTTGATCAGAATATGTCCTTTAAATCACACATAAACCAAGTCTCTAGAACTGCCTTTTTTCACCTGCGCAATATTGTGAAAATCAGGAGCATCCTGTCTCAAAGTGATGCTGAAAAACTGGTCCATGCATTTGTTACTTCCAGGCTGGACTACTGTAACTCTTTACTATCAGGATGTCCCAATAATTCCCTAAAAAGCCTCCAGTTAATCCAAAATGCTGCAGCCAGAGTACTGACAGGAACTAGCAAGAGAGATCATATCTCTCCCATATTAGCTTCTCCCCACTGGCTCCCTGTAAAATTCAGAATAGAATTTAAAATCCTTCTCCTAACATACAAAGCCCTTAATGACAAGGCTCCATCATATCTTAAAGACCTCGTAGAGCCTTATCATCCGAACAGAGCACTTCGCTCTCAGAGTGCAGGTTTACTTGTGGTTCCTAGAGTCCACAGAAGCAGAATGGGAGGCAGAGCCTTTAGCTATCAAGCTCCTCTCCTATGGAACCAACTCCCAGTCTCAGTTCGGGAGGCGGACACCCTCTCTACCTTTAAGATTAGACTTAAGACGTTCCTTTTTGATAAAGCTTATAGTTAGGGTGGATCAGGTGACCCTGAGCCTTCCCTTAGTTATGCTGCTATGATGGTTTCAGCTCCTCTCCTCCCTTTTAATTACATACTGTAGCTTTAAGTACGTTCATTACCATAAACTTTCCAGAATAAAAATCCAGTTTCTTTAACTGGGATTCTATAAGTACACTTAAATGGGTATCTCCACGAGCGTATCTACATGACAGAAAAAGTACTGCAGTAACAGCAGTGTGACAGAATAAAAATCTGCATCACAACTGTTATAAAAATGCTGTTATTAGACAAGATTTTTACTATTTAATGTGTTTTAAACTTTCAGAACAGAGCCATGTGAGAAACTGGCTGTGCATAGGCCTGATGGACGTCTTCTATCTTTTTTGTGAAACTCTGTGTACTGTGATATACTTGACTACAGACTGTTCCAGACAAAGTGAGACACAACCGTCAACTGCAGGATAAGTATGTGTCCCAGTATGATTAGCGTCTAAGTCGTGTTACCAGGGTGCACCTGTTTACTATATATTATGTTGTATAAACCTACCTCACTCAGACAACTTGGTATGCTCATGCTGACTTGTCTCCTTGCTGCAAGTAAAGAATACTGCTTAAAATGTTCCAGTGACTTCGTTGCTCTTTTAAAAATTATTTTGACAACAACATAGAGCAGAGGATCCTTTTATCCAAATAATGAAATCCAAATTCACGCAAGAATGGATGATTATTTTAGTCTAAATAAGCTGATATCAACAGATGAACAGTTGACCATTTTATGAAATTCAGACACATTTTTGCTGTTAAACAATCTTTCACTACAGTGACTGTCCTCACACAGGTAATAAATAATGTCTGACCTTGGATGGAAACCTTTGGATGTTCTTTCTTTGTGCACTCTGGTTGGGTCTGCGGGTCAAACAATGACGGGGTCAGAGTCGTCGGAACCACAGAGTTCTGTGTGAAAACAGTTGGGAAGAGGAGGAGCAGGAAGAGGCCAGCCACAGACGAGGGCAGGGAGTCCTGCGAGGATGCTGTCATGGTGATAACCTCTCCTCTAACTGCCAAGGTGGGCCTCTGGGATACAGCTGGAGAAGAGAAGAGACAACTTCAGCACCTCAATGCAACATTTTTACACCTAGCTTCAAAGAAAAAAAGCTGACTCTGAGTCACTTCAAAACCACTTCTTCCCTCAAACTTTTAATTCCCGAGGGCTTCAAGCACTGAATCCTGCACCAAAGAACAGAAAAAAATAATGCAAAAGGTATAAAATGTGGTAAAAGAATTTAACCGTGGGATGAAAGCAAGGATGTTAGGTAACTAGAGGGTGGTTGCAAGGACCAGATATAAAGCTGAATAAACTAAAATACAGGAGTGAGCAATAGAGGATGTGAAGGACACCAAGTGGAAAAACTGGCCAAAACTCTTACACTTCAGCAATGAGCCATCTCAAAGAAGTAACTAACCTCTGACCTTGGGGTAATTATTTAAAATGTGTGATTAAACTTTGGGAGTTAATTTAATGGCTGATTAAAATTGGAAAATTGAATGCAATAGTGGACTGTTCAATGAGGCACAAGTTTCCAAAAGTCAATGAAGCATAAATACTGTAGGTTCATTTAAAACCTGTGGTTCTTAGAGACATGTTGGAAAAATGGTTGCACAACTCAAATAAACATTTTTACTGCACGTGATGGATATCAACACGAGTCATTCTCTGACATCCAAGTTCACATATTATGTTTGCAGGCCCAGCCAGCAGACACAAAAGAGACACACACAAATGTTCAAAACACACATACAGACACACTCATGCTTTCTGAGTTAATGTAATCTCCTCCAGTCATAACATATGAATTTAGAGTGCTGAGCTGAAACCAGCAGTTCATCATCTCCAGCCCTGCACTCCTTATGATGTTAGCTTAGCGAGGTGTAATGTCATTAATGCAGATTAAAAGCTGAGAGCATCAACTGTCTGCAGCACTTCGACTGGGTTACATCTCTCTGTAGTGTTTTCCTTGCTAATGGCTCAATCAATAACAAATTATTAGCTTGGTTGAGTTGGAAATCAACCATATTGCCCTGCAATCAATTATCCCTCTCACTACAGCTGGTAACTAATTAGGGAAATGCACACAGTCGCCATGTTTGTCATTACAATACAATGCAGTCAACAGGCCCCCAGCTACTGCCAACAAACATACTGTTGATGAAACAGGTAGAAGTATTCATTGTACTCTGCACTAGACTTGACTCAGCAATGCTGGATGCATCTCAAGTTTCAGGGCTCACTGTGATGCGTCAAACAAAAAACAGCAATGCATTTGAAAAAAGGGTCTGCACTGGTGTCACTGTGTTGGTACAAGTACAAGTGAGAGGATTAAACGCAACCCAGGAAGTCAAGTTGTAGTGCAATGTCAGATTCAGGCTTCAGGCTCCTTCACTGTCATATATAGGTTCTGGTTGTGTCCTAGAACATTTTCAGATTGTTCTACATATACGACTCTTAGTAGAAAGCCTGATGTCATCATGTGTTAGGCCATCTCCAAACTAACACAGATTTATTTTATTTGAAAATTAATTTTAGGTGTCAACAAAGCTTCAATTATGCTAAAACTCTAACATTTTTCATTTTGCTATCCTGTCTGAAAAGTCACAACCACAGAAAACAAAACGTACACTTCCTCTACTGGGCACATACAGGCCTCTTGCACCTGCAGCTTTGTGCCACTCCTGCAGTCTGATTTTAAAAATGTTGTTGGTTGTTTAAGGAACAAGTTGGAGTCTGCCATAAGACTCAAAAATAGATGTGATGCATGTCTGTCTGTCTGCGTTTTTTCAGCTATCAAAACCAAATGATGTTAGTTTTCACTTAGCATGTTTTTGATAATATTCAACTTTGCTTTTGGTTTTATGATTCATTTTTAACTTGTTAGTTTTGAGTAACATATGAAAAAAGCTGGTCAACCTTGCTCTTGGAGCAAGGCTTTTAATTAAAACTAAAAAGCAGGACCATGTGTCCCTAGTTTTAGCATCTTCTCACTGGTTGTTTGTTTCATAACTGATCTAAAATCTTTGCTGATTACTTAACTTTTCTGTATGCTCAACTGCCTGTATTCATTTGTAAAAAAGTACTTTTATCACATTTTAGGCAAAAAAAACATGGAAGTCCAGTGTTGGCATAAAGCTGTAAAGAAAGAAATACCCTGGTCTAGAAAATCATTCCTTCAGCAGATTCTACTTTTCTGGCATTTTGACTTTATAACTGATAGCAGACAGTGAAAGATACCATATAATTAATGTTGAAATTGTAGCACTTTAGAGTGCTATGAGGGTGAAATCATACCAAGAACACTATGCTTACAGAACACAAGAGTTACCCAAACCCTCATTCTGTTATTTGTTTTATCTGCAGGAGCAGAGTTGGCATGTGCTTAATTCACATTAAATCGCTGGGTCCTGAAAATCAGAGGCTGACTCTGCAAATCCTCTCATTAGTCTAAAAGCTGGACTGAGAGTAGGAAGAGCACCAGATCGTGACAGATGACTCTGCTGTAAGAGTGAGTGGTGGGTGAGTTATCTTGGAATGGACACCCACAGAGGAAACAGTATTGTCAGCAGGAGGAGAAGGTTAGTGTGTAGAAGTCAAATGTTTCTATAGAATGTCATGTTATGTATTCCCAAACTAAGACACACACACACACACACACACACACACAGCTCTGAAAACTAGCAAATCCAGCCATGGACAGCTGGTGACACTCCATACTAGGTCATGGCAGAGTGGGCAGAAACTGTGCATGCAGTGTGCCAAAATCCACTCCTGAGTGAGTGTGTGTTGATACCAAGCACGGCTCTTTTAGGGCCACTCCAAAAAGGGGTAACATCCAATTTCCCAGCCTGCTGTGTTTGGGATTAGTGACAATGTGTCAGCAAGGAAGTAGGAAGATCTATATCTCTGAGGAAGCTGACTCTGCAAATACTGACACACACACACATGTGCTTTCACACAGTGGATGCCTTCAACAAGTCTCACTGAGCCAGTGTTTGCCCATCAGCCAGACATCCTGCCAGAAACAATGAGTCAATTAAAAGTGCACTATATGCTGAGGATTTACAAGGTACTTGTGTGGATTGGACTAATACTGTAGATGTTCGAGTATATCTCTTTACCTATAACTCTGAATTCAGTCAGGAGAGAGATTTGCTGCCATACTAGCATGAAAACAGCGTTTGCAGAGGTGGAAAAAAATGTTTTGCCTCTTTAAAAAGCAACAGTATCACAATGCCAAGATTATTCCAAGTAAAGGTCCTGCAGTTAGTAATATTAGCTGTAATATGTAGTACTCAAATGTCAATGAAATCAATGAAAGTATTCATTGTGAGGAATGTGTTCATCTTTTTCAATAGTCCAACTGATAATAAATACTTTTTGTCAGCTACAACATGCAAATCAGTTCTATAAATCCTGTTTTCTCCTATCAGAATGTAACATGGGTAAAAAATACTACGTATTATAGTTAAACATCCTTAGAAAGTGCATTTGCTTTTGAGCAATAGTTACTATAAACAAGTTGATTTCATAAGATGAATATGGTAAAAAGCTTTATGGTGACTTATTTCCTCTTATTTTGAAGGTTCAAGGAAGTGCTGTGTGTAAAATATCATTATTGGTCATCCATTGTTAAAGGTAGTGGCACCCAGGGAAAGAAAAGAAGAAGACAGAAAGCGGGAGGGGGAGGCGTGTAACTAGTAGTGATGGGAAGTTCGGATCATTTTACTGGTTCGGTTCTTTGAATCTCGTTCAGCAAAATGAACGAAACTTTTTTCGAGTCATTTCGTTCACTTCAGCAGAATGTAATTAAAATGTTACTTGCTAATTCCCCTTCTACTTACACACATATTGATCACGTTTCCAATAAGAAAGAACTGTAATGCAGCCAAGGTCATATTATAAGTAATATCGTACCTGTGTCTTGAGGCTATGCAGTCTGTTACGTCATCACCACCTCACCTCTGAATATTGTGGGTCAAATTCGTTTGGTCTTTTGTCACTAACATCCTAAGCTAAGCTAAGCTAAGCTAAGCTAAGATGTGCCGTCTTCTGTATAGTTTACAGAAAGATTCTCCCTGATGAAGTTTATTAACCAACTCTTTATTAAAACATTCAGTGTTATGAAAAAGAACCATATTGACAGATATTCACAAAATTATAGTCTGTAGGAAATAAAAAGCTATTTTATAATAAAAATAAATAAGGACAGTTGAAAATTAACTAATTTCTGTATCCAACAAAGCAGTCACGTGACGTTACAAAAACGAACGACTCGAAACCGAGGACTCGAAAGGTGTACTAATCTAATGCGATGTTACGCATGCGCAGTCAACACAAAATGATCGAATCACTCCCCGAGACGAACCGATGTTCTCGAGTCATGGGAAAGATTCGTCGTGAACGACACATCACTAGTGACTAGGTGAAAGAAACGGAGAGAAGGAAAAAAAGGTTTATGCTGACACGAAATCTGTAAAGTATGTGGACTATATCTTAGATTGTCAACTCGACGATCTGCTGTAACATATTTGTCCTACATAGTCTATAGTACACGAAGTTATCAGTTGTGTAGTGTTATGGTGTCTAGCTCCGTAGCATATTTAGCTAACATGTTAGCATTCGTTAGCTAAATGAACGTTAGTATCGGTAGTATAGCTAACTCGGCTTACTCCCAGGACTGTATTCATCTTTTCTAACCTGGAATTCATGGACATTATCAGAGACAGTGCTACGTTAGTGAACAGTTGGATGGTACAACAGAGCCTGCTACTCCGTGCCTTCCCCCTACTGCTTGCACCTGGACCTGAGGATTTGTGCTTACTTCGCCGTTGGAGGGCTACTGGGACCCTTTTGCCATTTCTTTGGACACACAGAGGAGGTAAAGTTCCGATCTCTGGACTACGAACTACTAAGTAAGGTACCGTTTTTTATTTGGCACTAAAGAGTGAAACAGCTGCTTGGTGTTTGGCCTCATCGGAACCGAGTGTCCATCAGGCTGCAATGGGGGTTCAATCTCAGTGTGTGTGGGCCCAC